TGAATGGCTCCATGCCAGTTAGTGCTGATGATAACAGTGGGGCACAAACAAGGCCCCATCCTCTGTGGTTTGCAGCCAAGCGGAGCGGGCTTGACATCAGTCATCAGGTTATTATGGTGCTGAGTGCTGGGCGGTAAATATAACAGGAAGACAACCGAGTCTGGGAGGCAGGGGCGCTCTCCTGGTAAGAGCGGTGTTAGAGGCAAGACCTGGGGCCTGAAGAGGCTGGGCTGGGGAAGGCGGCGGGGCCAGGTCTGAGTGTAGCTGGTGTGGGGAGTCGAGGACCTCCGTCTAGTGCGGCTAAGCTTCAGGAGCTGCAGGAGAGTGGACATGATGACCAGCCACACAGGCAAGCCACGGGGCCTCAGAGCCCACGCTGCCAACTTGGGATTTACCTTCAGTGGGAGCCCATGGAAGGAGTTAATGTGGGGGTGGCGGGATTCGTCCGGCGGCTGGAGACCACCTGGGAGGCTGCTGCAGGATGAGAAAGGGTGGCTGCCTGGCTTGGGACAGCCGTGAGGATGGAGTGGAGGGAAGAGATTGAAGAGGCATTTGGGAGGGGGTCTTGAGGGTGATTTACCAGCAAGGTAGATGGTCGGGGAACTCTGGTGAAGAGCAAGTGTGGACGGGGAGTCATGGGTTGTCTTCAGGACAGGTTAGATTTGAGGTACCTGGGAAGCAGCTGCATGGAGATGTCAGGCTGGTAGTTGGGGTGTCTGGCAGCTCAGCAGACCAGCCTGGGCCAGAGAGAGAAAGTTAGGAGAGGCGGAAAGTGACTGTGAAGACACTCTTCGTGTGCAGGTATTACAGCATCCAAAACACTTCATCAGACTACTTGTTCACCTGAGCTTCCTCCTGCCTCAGCGATTCTCACTTCGTTCTGCCCCTTCCTGGGTGTGTGTGACACCCTCTCCAGGAATGTCTCTCATCATGTTCAATGATTCTCCCTCATCTAAAGCTCCTGGAGGGTAGGAAGGTCTTACTTATCTTTGCATCCCCGGGATGTATTATAGAAAATCACTAGGTTTCTGACTGATGACTGACCAAGAGAAAAAAGGGAATCAATGATTGTGTTAGAATCTGCATAAAAGCACCAATTAGAATTATGTGGATGTCCATTTAATTTTGCAGCACCCATTATGATAGTTTAAAATAATCTCTATTTATAAAGAAGCATATAAAATCATGCAAGACATCAAAATGAAGGCATCTTCAAAAGTACAGCATGAAGACATATAATGGATCACAAAAATTCAGTCATATAAAAGCATTGCTGAAGAAGTCTTCCATGGAGCTTTCTCAAAGGAAAATGGTCATTGGAGGTCACATCAAGTATAAGCGCTCAGCTCAGCTCAGGGACCATAAGAAGCTATAATCTTTACATTTCCAAAAGGGATAAACTCGATCATTTCAAGTTGCACTGTTGACTACTTTGATCTCTTCAACTGTGGAGTTGGTTTCAGGCGTGTCTTCGGCTAAGATGGCCATGGAGACAAAGAAAACAGCCTCTCCTCTGCTCTGGGTCTTCCTCTAGGTGATGGGACCCCCAGGTGCAGTGCCCACTTGCCTGGCACTTGGTTCAGCATCACGGCTGCAACCCTCCAAACAAGTGGGAAGCAAGATTTGTCCTTGTCCATTTATACACAACTGCACACATTTCAGAAGGTGGAGCTGGAACTCCCAGGCAGGAAATCACAGAATCAGGAGGGAGACTGCTTCTCAGTCACTTCCTTGAGTACATGCAGTTGCAGATGTTTCGGTTACATCACTACACTCCAAATTTTTGTTGTGACAAGACAAAGAACCGAGGAGCATACACTCACCTGACAGTTACAAGGGTAGAAAACAGTTACAAAGTTCTTAAGTTCAAAGTGTCATTAAATATGAAAGACATCCTCTATATGTATAAGCAAAAAAAGGAAGCCAATGTTAGCAGGTCACCGGGAGTTAAGAAGGCCACAGGCATGTAGAAGAAATCTGATTTTGGCCCTAAAACAAGCAATACAGACAGCAGAAACATGAATCCAGAGGAGAGGAAGATTCTATAACGGAGGACAGAAGTGGAAAAATGTTATTAATATAAGGAGGATAGTCTTGCCTCAAAACGAAATGAAATATATTCACTCATCTGAAAAAGAGAAAGAAAATTCGCTAGATCTTAGTTATCAGGACTGGATTTAAAACACTGTGTTTCTTTTATGTGTCACAGAGGAACACACAGCTCGCGGTCTTCCTTGAAGTCTGCTGTAACTGAGGGAGATCAATCCCTTTGCCTTTTTACACAGAAATCACTGTACATGTGATGTTCAAGATGAAGCATCATTAAACTGAAAGCAAAAGAGACCACAGACAGCTAACCTTGTATCTCCACAGAGAAAAAGTCCTACTGAGTGTTTAGGGAGAACTCCCAGGGTGAGGAACTGCAACTAGGGTTGACTGTTCCACATTTCATCTGAGTGATGATGTTGTCATGACGGGGCTACCTTCAGGAGACAGGAACCCTCATCTCAACTATGCCAGCCTCATTCCATTAGTATTTGTCAGTCTGTAAAATAATTGCACTCTTCTGATTTTTTAGTGGGCTACTTCTAAGGGTTCTAACATACAACCAATAATCAATAGAAGGTTGGTTCTAGGCTGGTCTTAGGGCTTCCCAGGAGGCTCAGATGGCAAAGAATCTGCCTGCAAGTATAAGGAGACGCAAGAGACAGGGCTTGATCCCTGGAGAAGGGAATGGTTACGCACTCTAGGATTCTTGCCTGGAGAATTCCATGGACAGAGGAGCCGGAGCCTGGCGGGCTACAGTCCAGGGGGGCACGGCTTAGTGACTGACACACACGCTGGTCTTAGCCAGGCCTGAAAGGATGCAAGCAGATTCCATTCTCCAGCAGAGGGCAGCGCCCCATAAAAATTACCCAAAGGTGCAGCATCTTTGTCTATCACCATGCATTTGCTGTATTATTATTTTATGGCCATGTAGCTTGTGGGATCTTAGTTTCCCAACCAGGAAGTGAACCTGGGTCCCCTGCAGTGGAAGCACAGAGTCTGACCACTGGATCGCCAGGGAAGTCCCTCTGTATTATCGAATATTTATTATTTAGTGTCACAAAAATGGAAGGCTTGTTCATACGAGTTATCTTGAATACTGATGGGCAACCCAGGCAAACAATTTAAGCCCTAACTATTTAAAATCTTATCATTTTAAGATTAATTGAAATTAGTTAATAATTTAAATGACTCTGTGCTTTATTTGTGTCTTCCTTCCACGTGAGTCTTCCTCTGTGTGCATAGGTCCTGGGTGTGTGTGTGTGGTGTCTACTTTGCTTTCCATTCCCTTGCAAGTAGTAATTTTCTATTGCAACCAAATAAAATGCATATTACATACAGCCGCAACACATAACACCATAACATTGCAGGTGGGAGTTTCGTTTAAAAGAGTGTAGCTTGGAACTTAGCTAAGAAGAATTCATCCTTCTAATAGCAAAAGGACATCATCGAAAGCAGATTAGTTTATAGTATGGTCAATTCAATATGGATTCCTACAGAAGAAAGCTTTTAAGTATTAATGAATACATTTTAACAATTATTTGATCAATCAGTCATAAAGTAATTCCCTTCCTTTCCACTTTGACCTTTGTAAAGTATCAGCATAGTCAGGCTAACACAGTATTTATCTACTAAAAATAAACTTTAAAAGAAAATTATTTGGGGTTACTACAGAATTGTGTTATAGTTCTACTTCAGTTGAGATTTACTTTTGATATTTCTGTATGTAACACAGATGAAAGTCATCCTCCATTTGGTCAAAGTCTAGAATCTAAATGAACTTTAATTAAAAACAATTTTTGGTTAAATCTCTCTGCTAATATACTGTTAATAATTAAAACTTTTCCTTAGGTAAATGCCAATGAATATAGGTGTCGATATGTGCAAATGATAGAGTGAAATTAAAACAACATACTTATATCAACTCCTATTTTTTTTTAAATCCCTTCTATCCTGGCACTTCCGCTATGCCATTATAATAGAAACTTAAGCTTTTATAGCCAGTGATGAAAATTATTAGCCATCAGGCTTTGGAACTAATGCTGCAAAATGGAGAGCTGAGTGGGTGGTGCTCTGTGGTCTTGTGGTTTCTCTGTAATTCCTGAACATAAAGATAAAGGAGCGTTCTTAGCTCTGCCCATAGCTGAACCATCTGCATTCTTGTGTCTTAACATTTCTGATCCAACTCAAAGGTAATTTCAGCTGACATTTATGAACCATAGCCATGTTCAGGTATCTATGAGGGTAAGTTCTGTCTAAGCGTGGGGGGAATTCCCTGGTGGTCCAGTGGTTGAGACTTTGCCTTCCAATGCAGGGGGTACGGGTTCAACCCCTGATCAGGGAACTAAGATCCCACATACTTCTTGGCCAAGAAACCAAAACATAAAATAGAACAATATCATAACAAATTCAATAAAAACAAATTTTAAATTCAAAATGCTTTAAAGACGGTCCACATTTAAAAAGAAAAAAAAAACTTGAAAAAAAAGTCAGCTTTGAGCTTGAAATCTGCAGTTTGGAAATTTGGAAACATGTCCCACAGGACATTTGTCATGCTGGGACCCCCCCTCCCCGCTTCTGTCACAAGGGGGTGTTATGATCCAAGGAGCGATGACCCTCTGACTTGAGGGTCTGGAACCACAAAACACTAAATAAGCACACCCTTTTGGTTCCATTTCCCTAAATGTCCATAAGAAATGTGAAAGGCTCATCTGCACTTTCCCACAGTACATTTTGGGCTAACACATGAGCACATGTCACACGCAGCCTAACAAGAACCCCGCGTGTACGTGCCTGTGCATGCTCAGTCATGTCCGGCTCTCTGCGGCCCCGTGGACTGTAGCCCACCAGGCTCCTCTGTCCATGGGATTCTCCAAACAAGAATACTGGAGAGGGTTTTCATTTCCTACTCCAGGAGATCTTCCCGACAGGGATCGAACGCGAGTTCTCGCATCTCCTGCACTGGCAGGCAGATTCTTTACCATTGCTCCACCTGGGATCCCGAACACGGTGCAAAATCAAATGTTCTGTACAGTGCCAAGAATACAGCAGACAATCAACACCTAACAACCACCCCACTGGACATCAAGTTGCAAAAGAACCCAGTTTTTAAAACTTACATTTTATTTCTGACTGCTGCTTTGGGTACATAAACTTGGCATTTATCTGCTAAATCTGACAAAACGAGCTAGGTGTGACTAACACTAAGTCGGAAGTGATCAGTAGGTCTCTACAGTACTTTTGCAAGTTTAGAGATAACATTTGATGACTACATACCAGCAACCTCTGTAACAAACTGCTGTAAACAGTGGGGAAAAAAATGTCAGTGGTTGAGAAAATAACTTTGAGTTAATCCTAATCTTTCTTGTATTCCTATCAATGTTAGTCATCATTTTTGCTTCTTTTGGTCAGGGATTTATACAGAATCCTCTCACACTGGATGAAGTATCTTAATTTTCTAAGCCTACGGCCAAAATCAAATAGCACTTTTATGAAATTGTCAAGTAAACCAAGGCTTCCCTTCCATCCTCCACACCTTCCACAGTAAACAATCAAACAAGACTACTGGATATTCTTTGGATCTAATCTTTTCATTTGGTTTAAAATCCTCTAAAATTTGGATTTTAAAGCACAGCTCCCCTTCCAATATCATCATTAAAGATTTCTCTTTCTTGGCTAATGTGTTGGGTAATACTGAGGCTCTGTCTTAAGCTGAGATAGTAGGTTTTAGAGGGGGTTGCCTTTCACCCATGGGCTGAATTGTGATGTACAGTACCTGAACTGTACAATATTGTGATGGTCTTTGCCATGTATCAGTATGAATCGGCCACAGGCATACTTGTGTCCCCTCTATCCTGAATCCCTCCTCCCTCCCCAGATTTTTATTTATTTCTCAACTTAGCTTTCTCTCTTGGGCAAAACACTTGACATGATAGAAAAGACGTAGAAATAAATACTAAATTAACTTTTGAAAAGTCAAGGATACTGGAAGGGCCAACTCTTTGTCAATACCTTTCCCGTGGTCCTTATTACCCTGCTAATTCCTGACTTTGTCTTCCCAATAACTAGTTGTTTTGATAAATATTTTCTTTTGAAAATACTCGAGCAAAGACCTCTTTGACAGCGCCCAGAGTTTGAATAAGAAAGGCGGCACCTGTATCCTGGAGTGTATCACTACATAATGCCAGCAACCTGTAAGTTCACTTTGTAACAAAAAGCGTAACTGGGTAAAGGGTGACTGCTCTCTGTGTGTAGGAGTGTCGTTACTCATCAGGGATCTTGTGGATGATGACTTTTGGGGGCCATCAACCATCTTAGTTCCAATCTCAATCTTCTGTATTTAAAGGAGGGGAACTTTTATTTTCATCATGGCATGACTCCATTCTGATTATAGCTTTGGCCCTGGTCCCCGTAGGAGCTTACAACACATTTCCCCCAATTCCAGATTCAAATATTAAATTAAAACAGATGTGCAAAACTAAAGGAAATTCCACCACCAAAAACATACCCGACCCCTCCACAAAACTGCCAGCTCTGGGGAAAACCAGTGTCCATGGTTCCGGGTCCTTCTCCTAAACTTGAAAAGGAACAGTCAGGACTTTCCCAGTGGTCCAGTGGTTAAGACTCCACGCTCCCAATGCAGGCAGCATGGGTTTGATCCCTGGTTAGGGAACTAAGATCCTACATGCAGCACAATGTGGGAAAAGAGAAAAATAGAACAGATTCACATTGCTCCTTAACCTGCGCTTGTTTCAACATCCGAGAGGCCAGTGAGAAGGAGCCGAGGTCTAGAAGTTCCTGGGGTGCTCTCCACGCCGCCGCTTGGGCCACTCCTCGTCCACCCACCTGCGCAGCACCTTCTCCACGTCGGCCCGGTGGTACAGCCGGCAGAGCTCCATCAGCTGGCCCACCGTCCTCTGACTGTTCCGGAGCAAGAACTCCAGGGTGGGGCTCTGGGGTCGCTGCTCCAGGAAGCAGAGCTCGTCATAGGGCATGCCCCACTTGCTCGCAAAATTCCTCCAGTTTTTGACTGTTGGGTGACAGGGATCCAGCTTTATCCTGATCACATCTAGTAAGTCCTGGTCGTTGAGCAAGTCGCTGATGGTGGGGACTCGGAGCGCACAGGAGGGACAGGAACAGGTCTCCGCGCAGGACGCATCCTTGCTCACATCTGCAGGGTAAACCACAGGGTGCGCGTGTCAGCAAGAGGCCCCAGACACGTGCTTATCTCTCCGGTCCTCTATTTTCCTACTGAATTGCTCATAGCATCAGGGTAAGTACAGCACCTATTTCAGGATACTCGCTTCTACATATTCACCAATAACGTCTTATTCTTTGCAGTCAAGAACAGCTGCTCTGTTGGAAGCAGTGGCAAGGCTTTATAAAGCCAGTGTTCCTTTCTTTCTGAGACTCTGTCCCCGAGGCTGCCCATTTGTGAGCCTGCCGGCCAGATGAGGGCTCCAAAGAGCAGTGCTCTCTCCGTGGGCAGACAGCCAGTCTAGGAGGGGTGGACTCTGCCATCCCAGGAGAAACCAGCCCATTCTCACCTCCTTAACCCTCTCGCCCCTTCCAAATTACAAGTCAGCCTTGTCAGCTTTTTAAGGTCAAGCACAGCATGTCAGGGTGTATTGCACAATTCTTCAAAAGGTCTTCATTAAAAAAAAATAATAACAACAGGCACAACCTCAAACTGGAATATCCACTCCAAACGCATATTTGAAAATGAGTGATAACTGATAATGCCAGACTTTTCAGATTTATGGCCACCTTATCACGGCTTTGCCTTTATTTATTTTTAACACATAGGGCTGCCTTTGAAGTGGAGCCAATACCCTGAGGTGTGTGCAGTGGGCTGGGTGAGTGGGTGGCTTTGAGCTCAGCCTCCCCAAGAAGGGGGCTTCCTTGGTGGCTCAAATGATAAAGAATCTGCCTGCAATCCCGGAGACCCAGGTTCAATCCCTGGGTTGGGAAGATCCCCTGGAGAAGGGAATGGCTACCCACTCTAGAATTCTTGCCTAGAGAATTCCACGGACAGAGGAGCCTGGCGGGCTACAGTCTATGGGGTCTCAAAGGGTCAGACATGACTGAGCAACTAACACTTTTGCTTTCACCAAGAAGAGCAGCCCCAGCAGAGAGGAAGGGCCACCTTCCCATGCATTATCTCTGGCCTCCCTGCTGTATCTGGCAGTATCTACTAAGAGGATGAAGCTAGTAGGTAAGCAGTAAATAGGTTAGGGGTAAAAGGTTAGTAGGTAAGAGACAACTCAGAGTACGGGTGTAAGCGGGGTCTGCACAGCAACCCAAGTGCATTAAAACTCTGCAGCTGCACTGAATCTCCTAGCTCCTCTCACTGGGGATATTTAACCACCAAAGACGGCACTAAAGATGACTGGCTTGGAAAATCCTGGGAGGTTATGATGCCTTTTTCTACAGTGAACTGTGTGGACAGTCCAACTTAGGAAAGTAAAAAATCTGGAGGAAAAAAAAAAAGGAGTCACTCTGGTTATTATAAAATTGAGAACTAGAAATTTTGAGGCGAATACAAAGTAAAAGATAACAAGAGCCATGAAAATTATGCTCATACTCTGACCTACTAATATAACTGCTGAGAATCCAGTCAAAGGAGATCATCTAAAACATGTATGTACTTGAACATTTATTATTATAGTCTTACTCTTATTATACATTAAAAAAAACTTAAAACCAAAGTTAGGGGACTAGTGAAATTATTGTTACTGTTTTAAGGAATATTATCTGAGAAATTATGAAGACTATAGCAACCTAGAAAATGTGTGTGCTATCATGTTAAGTGGAAAATGCAAGATGTAAGGAATTTATGTACTCTGATTAAAACTATGGGAAAAGTCTCTGTTAATATTACCATGGAAGGAAATGGACAAAAATAATCGTAGCTTCTGTGGTTAATGTAGGATTATGTTTTTACTTTGCAGACTTTCTCGGTGTGTATGCGGCGTGTGCGCAGGCGTGCGCTGTGTGCTCAGGCGTGTCCGGCTCTCTGCGACCCCATGGACTGTACCCCGCCAGGCTCCTCTGTCCATGGGATTCTCCAGGCAAGAACACTGGAGTGCGTTACCAAGCCCTCCTCCAGGGGATCTTCCTGATCCAGGGATCGAACTTGTGTCTCCTGCATTGGCAGGCAGAGTCTTTACCACTGCACCACCTGGGATTATGTTTCTATTCTCCAAACTTTCTCTAGTGGTGGTTATATTTCGATGATAATGAAAACCATGTATTACATTAACAAACATATTGTTCAGCACTGAGCAAATGTATCAATGCAGCATCCCTCCTTTTTGCCAAGCTTCACTTATCTCTTTGAGGTCACCTCTTCCTACCTTCCCCATGATTTATTTCATCAAATACCTCCTTTCTTTCCCCTCACCTCCAGACACCCATCTCTACTGATTCTCTTTCCTTTATCCACAGATAGGTATATGCTCCTCTATCATAAAAAATAAGAACCTCAAACTGCCACTCTCTGGTTTATAATTCACTGAAGGACTTTCTCTTACTCTTCATTTCTTTACTGTTTTAAAAATATTTATTATTATTTTGGGGGCTACACCACATGGCATGTGGGATCTTAGTTCCCCAATTAGGACGAAACCCACGCAACCTGCAGTAAAAAGCTCAGAGTCTTAACCACTGGACTGCTGGGCAAGTCCCAATTTACTGTTAAACTTCTAAAAGGAGAAATCAAAACCTGTTGCCTACAATGCCTCACCATGTTATTAATCTTCACTTTCTTTGGCTTTGAGCAGCGTCTGACCAGCCCCATTCTTGCCAACCCTGTAGAGACCAGACCCAGTTCCCCATGCCCCGCCTGTGGACCAGAGTCCAGTTATGATGGGGTAGATAAATCCAGAGATGCAGATCCCCACCTGGCTTGGAGGATCTGCTGCTGCTAACGCCCCCATCACATCACTCCCCTTGGGTCTGCCTGCCTCTAGAACTGAGCCCAAGATTTTGCGCCCCTTTGAACACTGTCTATTGCACTGAAGACGGTGTTTTCCCAGAACTCAGGCCCCTTATCCCCAAGCACATCCTACATTGTCCCGGCCACATCCCTTTTCCTGTCTGCCTGACTCACTGCGATCCCAGCCTGTCTCACTGCCAAGTCCCTGGGAGTTAAAAGGAGGTGCTCTGGTCCTGTTCTTAGCCCAAGGCTTTCCTCTTCTGCATTGTGTCCCTTTGGTCTTCTCCGCCTCCAACAACCTCCACAAAGATCTCCCACTAGAATGGAAGACCCTTTCTTTTTGCATCTGCAGGATCCAATACAGCCCTTGACACACTGCAGCAAACACTTAACCAATGTGGACTGAGTGAATAAATGAATGGCCAACCCTGCCAGCTCACCTGGGCTCCAGAACTGGCTACTAGAAAGCGTCTCTTGATGTTCAGATGACATGTCCAACTCAGAGGACCCAATACAGTACTTATATTTCTCCTGCTATGCACCCAAAGCCCCTCAAGTCCCCTAATGACATCTGCAACTCCTCAGCATCCTTACAGACTTTTTTTTTTCTATCTAACCAGTTACCAGGGTCCCACTCTCCCCCGGAAGCTCTCCATACCTCTCTTCAATCTCATTTCCCATGGTTTCCTTGAATATAATCTGGGCTCCAGAGAAAAGGGGCTACTCACTTCCTGAATAGACAACCTCTATTTTCTTTGCTTCAAAGTTTAATAAAATGAAAAGGAAAAAATATAAGCTCAGTGTAGAACATTAAAAATTATACTCAGTTATGAATTTTGTGTAAACTTGAACATTTAGGGTTTCCCCATAGTTGCATGACTATGAGTAACAATTTGATGCAGACCCTTACATCTAAATTTTTGACCACCTCTTTAATGATCTCACCAGTAACTATTAGGCTGAAAAATATAACCATTTTAAGGCTATCAGCACCTATATCCTAAATTGCTTTCCAGAAATAAATGCTGTATCAATTTACACTCTGTAAACTCTGAGAATAGTGATGGTGCATATCTCAGTTGACCTTTGTTAGCATCAAGTAACACTTTTATTAAAAAAGATCTTTGTCAATTGCATAGGTGGAAAATAAAGATTTCCTGCAGGACTTTTCTGATGTTTTCTCTCTTATCAGTTCTTTCTCTTCTTTCTCTTTCGCTCTCACTGAACTTCCTCTCATTGAACTTCCCCTCAGCTACTAAACTTATCTATCCTATGAAACCCACCTCAGAAACACCCCTTCATTAACTCCCCTGGCTCTGCCTGCAATGCCGTCTCATCCACAGTCTCTTCATTGTGTTTGCATCTCCTGACTTTGCCTTGCAGTGAGATACTCCATCTGGCCTTTGTTGTTGCACCTTCAGGGCCCTGAGAAAAGACCCGCATCCTTCTGCAATGTGTTACACATTTAGAGTTCTAGATTGTTGAATTACACTTCTGTGTAATATAGTAAGAGTTGTTCTTCTGCTCCATTAATAATGGTGTATCTGGAAGTGAGACTTTAGCTCCATGATGGGATAGAAATTTATTTATAAAGAGTTTTCTAACACTGAATGTGGTTTTTGAAGTACAAGGGGGAAACTGTGCAATTTTCTTTGCCCTTATTTAAAAGTAGAGTCAGAATCCAGGGAACTCAAATTGGGGCTCTGTAACAACCTAGAGAGGTGGGATGGGGTGGGAAGTGGGAGGGAGGTTCAATGGGAAAACATATGTACACCTATGGCTGATTCATGTTGATGTATGGCAGAAACCAACATAATATTGTAAAGCAATTATCCTTCAATTAAAAATAAGTTTTTGAAAAAGGTGGGACTACAGAAAAAAAGTAGAGTCAAAATAATACTTTGTCAAGTAGAAAAGAAAGCAGTTTACCAAAGGGTATGGATAATTCAGTTTTCGTAAAAACAAAATAATACAGTAATTTTTATCCACATAAAGCTTATATTATACACACATTCATGGGCATAGGAAAAATCTAGAAGTATGGATAAAAACATTAACAATGAGTGTTCCTAATTTTCTATAGTTACTATGTTTATTTAGATACCTAAAATATATTTTTTTAAATGTCACAAAAAAATAAACGATTTATATCTCTACGTCCAGAATGAAATGTATTGCTTTCTGAAGGTCTGCTCTGTATTACCTCTGTAAGACTCGGGGTTTTAGCCATGTTT